ACCTACCCACCCTCCCTACACACACTCTCTCCCCATTGCAAGCATTAGAAAGCCTGGGCGGCGTCTCGGTCACTGTGTGGAAGCGCTGACCTCCCTAGCAGGCACCGGCACCGCATGCCTTCTTCCTGCTCGCTCTGCGGGCCTGGAGGCTTGTGGGTAACCACGAGGACGTCAGAGCTGACTGTACCCTGCACCCCGAGGGACCCAGAGGGCTTGGTGCCTGTCACGTGCCTGGGCCCTCTACTGTTCGCTGCCAGACCTTCCCTCCGAGGGATGCGAGGACATTTGTCCTAGACAGAGTTCACGCAAGAACGAGAGGAGGAAGAGAGCCAAAATTCTCTATAACCCTCTAGCCCTCCACATCCTAGAAATGTTATACAATAGAAAGTCCTGGGGTGTGACACAGTAAATTGGTCTTGCAGTAGTGTGCAGATTTGGTGATATTTCCTGGGTACAGTTGATAATTACAAGAACGTTGCAGCAGAGAATGTACAAAGGAAAAACACAGGCAGCAATCAAATGAGGAAACCAAAACTCTGCTCTGTTTTGCCGATAAAAAGCTATGTCACTACTAGACATTATACTCTCCATAGTCGTTTATAGTGCTAGATTTATTTGGTACCGTTACAAGAAATTCCTGATATCTTTATCTTTAAATACTACTTAAGTAAGAAATTAAAAGATTCTTACAGATCAATTATTTTAGTGATTACTATGTGTTAGTTTTTAAAAACATAACCCTGTTAATACTAAGGATGATATTCAGAATTGGTAGTCCCAGTACTATTCATTAAATATTTTTAAATCTATGCTTGTGTAGTACCTATGCTTTGTGTAGTACCAAAAGATAAAGCAATCAATACAAGCATGTTTTTGTTTGTTTTAAATGTCTTTTTGGAACACAGACCTCCAAAGGGGGCCACCTGAGCTTATTTAAGTTTGATTCTATCTCCTGGGAAGAAAAGTTAAATTGGTCTTTTTTCCCTCCTGTGATCCTTTCTACCTCCATCCTTCTTTTCCAACCTTCCCATGTTTACCTTGTTTTGTTGAGAAACTGTTGCCTTGACCTGAAACCTGGATTTTCCCCTTGAGGAGAACCTGGTAAATTGTCCCCTGGAATTTTAATTTGCTTCTAAAACTATGCCAACAAGAGTTTAAAATTAATGTGAAGTAGATGCATAGTCTCTTCCTGTAAAATATTAGAAAATACATCGTTAATAATATTTGATCTGGAGCCATACTTAGGGAAATGGCCATTAAAATACTTTACCTTTTTAGCATCTAACATCTTCTGAGGTTCAGAAATGCTTTCTCTTCACAGAATATGAGCAAAGAAGTCATTAAGACAGCAACCTAACACAGTTCTCAGGGCCAGAGTTATGAAGAAATTTGTTTTGTTTCTCTTTTGAAGATTATATCTAAAACCTCCTTACGTGATAAATCACTTATCCTCAAAGTCAAAAAATCACCGGTCCTTATAACAGACATTGCTTTGAACAAACGGATTTCAGTAAGATTCTTAACCCTTCCCTCTTCAGAATAGGATTGCTGACATATGGCCATGGTAGAAAATCTAGTTCATCGTTCAAATACTGATCTTGGAATTGTTTATCTGGTTTATGAATACTTAATGGTTTTCACTGAGCCTGGTTGTAAGTGAATACAATACATGAATAAGAATATTTCTAGGTACAAAATGTCTCCCAAGGAACTGAAAGGAATATTTTTGCATCCTTTATGATCTTTTCCAGAAAAGTATGGGTGGGTACTTGATAGTGCAATGATTAATTTATGAAATTAATATAAAAATTATACTACCTAACCTTTTAGAGCTCAAAATTGACCATCGGGAATTTTCAGGGAAGGAAAGATAAAGAGACCAAACCTTTGTAGATTTTGCTAATTTTAGTAAACATGGAATGTGAAGTGAAACCTTTATGTGCAAAGTTGGGCATCAGACATGCACAAAGGGCCCTCTAGTGGCCATATTGGAAAATTTTGTTTAACAGTTAATTCAGTTATTAGCTAAAAAATGCGTTATGAATTAAAAGCAGTCTGTATTTTTTAAAAAAACTTGAATTTTAATAACCGCCATCTTTCATTCTTACAAATGTGCAGCCCAGATGAGTAAAGTCTGTGGTCAGCACACATGTTCAAAGAAGTGTTCCGTGAGAAAGCTATTCCCTTCTATCTAGTGTTAAAGAAAAGCTACTAAAAATTTTGTCTTCCTTTTAGAGCCAGCCAGATAAAATGGACGGATAGAGATGACTGGGGAGCGAGAACATTTCTAGATCTTTCACTTCCCCAAAATGGCTGTTCCCCATCCTAGGAATTGAAGTGTCCCCCAAACTGTGTCGCCGCCTATGTCACTGCACAGCTACAATAATCCACATTTTAATTGTTGAGATTTCTACAGAAAGTACTGGTCATAAACTATACCTGTTAAGAGAACATTTATAAAGCAATTGCTTTAGTACAATTCAGATTGCCATATGAAGATTTCACAGCATTCCAGTCTTGGGTCCTGAAGAAGGGAGACGAATGTTTTCCTTTCCATTCCCGCCCTTTCTGCCACTCTCTCTTCCCACTGCACCCCGCCCCCCCGCCCCCCCCCCACACACACATGCAGTTGCGCAGTTGGAAGGGGCGGAGGAGGGAAATACATGAAAGTGATGTAATTCGTGACTCCCAGATGGTTACCATAGCTACTATCTGGCATATTACGCTATCGGTAGGGTAAGAGCTTGTTTAAAGCAGCTTTCAATGAAGGGTTTTCGGAGAGGTTGCTCCACAACCTACAGAGTGTAAACAGGCAGAAAAACGTCAGCCTTGGGCCCTCTAGCAGACTCCTTAAACTAAACCCAGTAGGGAAGTAAGTCATTTCGCTGGTGGGAAACAGACCTTGCCTCCTCCAGGGCCGCCACCGCGAAGGAGGTCCTCCCTTCCCAGAATTTGAGAGCCCATTGGTGGGTGGTGTCGTCACTCAGCGTGACGTCACCGGCGAGGAAAGAGGTGGAGCCATAGACTTGGCCTCGGGCCCTTCTAGCTTGGGGATGGGGGTGCAGATCGGGAAGGGACTGGAGGACTGAGGCAGCCGTTCCGGGGAGCCGACCAGAGGTACGGGTGGGCGGCTCAAATCCTCAGGCTGTACCTTGGGGGACCGTGCCAGCCTGTTCTGCGGAGCGCGCTTCCTCCGCATCTTGCTCCTCCCATCAGCGCTGTTTTTCCAACCGTCTCCAGTTGCCCACAGCGCTCTCCTCAGCCCTTGACCTCGTCCCCTCGCCCGCCCAACTTTGGAGTTCAGTCTTCATTCCCCCTCCTTCCGTGCTTCGCTTCCTCTATTCTCTTCCGTACCCCGCGCTCTGCTGCTTGTTTACCTTCCATAAACCTGGATCGCCAACAAGGTTCGTCGTCCCAGTGCCTGCACCACCCCCGCACCGAAATACAAAGAAACACCCCCAGACCCCACCACAGTAAACACAGTCCATCAACACACAGCGCGCACAAAAGCCACAGGGAGAGGAAGCCGAGGGCGCGTTTTGCCCCGGTGTAGTCAAGTGCCGGAAGCGAAGGTATCCGGGGAGCCTGCTGCCCCCGCATGTGTGGGCGTGGGCGGTGCGTAAGCGCAGGCGGAGCACGTCGCCTGGCCCCGCCCGCCTGGGATGTGGTTGACCGCAGGCCCCGGCTGGAGTGCCGGGGGAAAGAGTGTGGCTTGACTGCGGGAAGGGGTCTGGTCTCCCTCCAGCATGAGACCACCCGCCCTTAGTAGGTTCAGATGTTCCAAAGTATTATTTGAACTCTTGATCAAAATGTCAGCTCTGTGGTTGAGGTTTCCGTCCAGGAGAGACCCTGGTACTTCCTTCCCAGCTGCAGGAAAGCAGAGTTGACACTTTGAGATACTAAGGCTCATTGCTGCCCTTGGCTGAAAAGCGCCACCGGATGGAGAAAGGTTTTGGTAAAGCTTATTTGAAGGTATAAAGCTCAGTTTGGGCTTTTTGGGGAATCACTAGTACAAAACTGGTTTACCTCGACTTGACTATGAGTAAGTACCATGTGTATCTTCACTGCTACGTAATGAGATGAGTGAGTACTTCAGTCTTTAATTAAAGCTTGGGGCAGCTTGACCAAGTATGGAAAAAAGCTAATTGAAAACAAACCCAGTATATTTACTTTCTACCTATATTTTTAGGTTATGAATAGCTGTGTCTTGCTTAGTTTCTTGAGTACTTGGCAACCACTCAAGTAGATTACTAGGTATTATTGACCAGAAATCAAAATGTCTTTGAAGACTATATCACCCTTATGAGCATCATCATATTTAAAGGTCATTTCTATTTGTTGGGATCCCAAAGTACCATTCTCAAATCCAGGGCTAAGAAAACATTATTCATGATTGTTGGAAATGAACTTGAGAGAGATTTTACACCTTGAATCGAATATGCAAATTTTTTACCCTTGCAATAGTTAAAAACACTTAAATCCTGATATCTTTATAATGATGTGTTTTTAAAATACTGAATTGTTTACTTTTTCTGCCCAGGTCCCTGTGTTGGCTAGTTGAAACAAATATAAATATGGCCTTCTACAATTATACTACATTCTTAGCTATTGCCCGAACAAGGTAAGCCTTGGAATTTCTCCCCTCCTCCCAATATTTATATGAACTTTATGCTTCTAGATGGAACAGATATATGTAAAAGGATAGGCTTAGTACACAATTAAAGCTTTGTTGGTTTTAACTATGTTGGTTTTCAGAAAGCTGACATTTTAATGTATTTAAACTTATCCCAAATTTTCTGTACACTTCAGAACTCAGGCTGAGTAATTTTGTAGATGTGTAGTACAGGTAAGCTAGAAGATGCAGTGGTTTTAGAGTGACACCTCTGTAATTGATGAATGTTACAAGAGGCCCTTAGATGTAGAAAGGAGTAAAATGGCTGGCAAACAAGTCAGTCCTAAGGCCTATAACTGCAAAGTCTGTTATCACTTACCGTATTTGCCGGCGTATAAGACGACTGGGCGTATAAGACGACCCCCTAACATTTCCACTCAAAATACAGAGTTTGTTATATGGGCAGTCTATCTGAAGTGTACCTGGCGTATAAGACGACCCCCCACTTGGAGGCATATTTTTCAGGGCCAAAAAATCGTCTTATACGCCGGCAAATACGGTATTTATTCCAAAGAATATTCACTGAGAACTTACTATGTGCCAGATACATTGTACATTTTCCTTTTTGGCCATTCAAAAAGTGTTTTATCTTGTCATGCTTCAAAAAGAAAGAATGGAAAAAGCCATCTCTTTGCCAAAAGCTCTTTGCCAGGAATTTCTTTGCCTACATGATCTTATTTTTATTTCCAAATAATCTGAAGTGCTATTTTAACTGAAGATTGTGAGCTATTGCAAAACTAGAATGTAGAGGTCCCTGGCTGGGGTGCCCAATTCTAGTTTTTATTGCTAATGTTCTTTGGGAATCTTAGGTAAAGGTGCATTTTGGCTGTAAGTGCCTCTCATTTGAGGGAGTCCATGGGCACGACATGGACAAGGCAGTATTATGTGATTGGTTAACCCCCAAGGGACCATGAAGTTTCTTCAAACAGTATTCCTGTTGAGTAGCTGAAGACACAAGTCTTCTACCTGTTTTATGATAATAGATAGAGACAGAACTTTCAAACATAATCCCTGGCAGGAAAATGTTTGCTGATAGAATTTTAAATGAATAGTGACAGAGTTTCTAACTTCTAATATAATGATTCTTAGGAATTAACTTATTACTATTTCTCCTAGAGTATATTATTCAACCATAAAGCATACTGTTCTTCAACTGGGGTAAAAAGTTATATTTCATTCACTGATGAACACCATCTGCTTTTAAAATGCAGGCTTTGAAACTATTGTTTTATTTTAACCAGATATAGTATCTATTTCTTTAATTTTTAAGTTTGTAATAGTTTGTGCTCAACTCAGAGGATGTTGCTCTTTATTCCAGATGCCCTAGCCATTTTGTCCATCCTACCTGCTCTTCTTTTTTCCCATCACTTGCATTTCTTCACTTGCCAGATTCCCACTTAACATATATGAAGAACTGTGGAAGCAAGAAGTACTCCTGTCCTAGTCAGTCAGGCAGTAAAGTACTTCACTTACAAACTAGAATAATACAAAAGCTACACACATCAGCATGCTGGCTACAAGAGGTCCCTGGTAAACCTCAGCTGCAGCAAACCCCCAAAAAGCCACAGGGGACAAGCCCTCAGCCCACAAAAGAAATGAAGACTAAGGAAGAAAAGCAGTCTTATAGACAAAAAATTATGGATGAACTTAAATATTATTACAATGGATTCTATTTGCTTTGGATTGACACCAAAGTTGCTGCCAGAATGGTTTGGAGGCTGTTGCATGGACAGGTGCTGACCAGACGAGAGAGACGAAGGGTAGGCAAGAATATTTGAGAAAGAAAATGTAAAGTTAAAATGCACTATTTAGGAATCAAGTTTTAAACTCAAAATTCATTTTAAAAATCCCAGAGTAGGAATACTAACTGGTGTAATTAACCAGGATTTCTTTTTTTTTTTAAATTGGGAAACTGTGTTTTTCCAGGACCCATCAGCTCCAAGTCAAGTAGTTGTTTCAATCTAGTTGTGGAGGGTGCAGCTCAGTAGCCCATGTGGGAATTGAACCGGCAACCTTGGTGTTATGAGCACTGTGCTCTAACCAACTGAGCTAACTGGCCACTTCTAACCAGGATTTCTTACTGAGTTTCGTACTTGTCTGCAAACTGACTTGCTGTACAACTTTAAGCACAGTTCTTAAAATTTGTATATATTTGCCTATAGAATGGTTATAATTGTGTTTTCTGCTTTGTTTTGTTTTTAGCTGAGCCATCCTGCCACCTGTTGGCAGCTCAGCGGCATAATTGTGTTTTCTAATCTCTCCAAGGAGTTGGGCGGTTGCAGGTTTGATCTGTGCACCTAAAGTACAAACTGTTGTTAATATATTAAATATATACATTTTAAAAACCAACTTTAACAGATACTAAGTTATTAAAGTACGGACCCCTAAGTTAGATGAAAGCTAGGAGATACCAGTAATATGTTTTGAATGTCATAGATTTCCTTGAAGATATCCCGTAAATATTACTTCAGAAATATGGTAAAAAGAGAAAAGCCCACCTTTCCATTTTATAAACAGCTGCAGCAAATGTCTTGTGTTTTTAACACTTTAAGAAACAAAGCAGGCTTTTTAGTTTTTGTGTCTGGGACATGTCCTAAAATAATGAATATTGCATATGTATTTAATTCTTTAGCTATTGAGGACTTGTGCTGACTTCTTCCGCCTGGTTCCATTTCTGGTGTTCATAATTGTACCCTTCATGGAATTCTTATTACCAGTGTTTCTGAAACTCTTCCCAGAGATGTTGCCATCAACTTTTGAAAGTGAATCCAAAAAGGTATGTAGGGTTTCTTAACTTTTTTTTTGAGAATGGTTATAAGAGTTTATTTAAGCCAAAACTGACAAAATATATTGGGGAGCAAGATCTCAAATGCTCACAGATTTTTAAAACTTAATAAAAAATTAACAGAATTATTTTTTAGAGCATTTTTTAGGTTTACAGAAAAATTGAGCAGGATGTACAGAGAATCCCCAGATACCCCCCCCATTCCCCTATTATTAACATCTTGCATTAGTGTGGTACATTTGTTACATTGGAAGAACCAATATCTATACATTATTATTAATTAAAGTTCATACTTTACATTAGGGTTAACTCATTGTGATATATAGTTTTATGGGTTTTGACAAATGAGTAATGTCATGTATCTCTCATCACAGTGTCCTATTACCCTAAAAATCCCCTGAGCTTCACCTGTTTGTCCCTCCTCCCTTTCCCCTTAACCTTTGGCAACCATTGATCTTTTTATTATCTGTATAGTTTTGCATTTTCCAGAATGTCATATAGTTGGAATCATACAGCATGTAGTCTTTTCAGACTGACTTCTTTTACTTAGCAATATGCATTTAAGTTTCCGCCATGTCTTTTCATGGCTCATTTGTTTCTGTCACTGCATAGTATTTCATTGTATGAATGTATCACAATCTATCCATTCACCTATTGAAAGACATCTTGGTTGCTTCCAATTTTTGGTAATTATGGATAAAGCTGCTAAAAATATCCATGTGCAGGTTTTTGTGTGGACATAACCTTTCAAGTCATTTGGGTAAATACCTAGGAGAGCAATTGCTGGATTGTATGGCAAGATGATGTTTAGTTCTGTAAGAAATTGGTAAACTGTCTTCCAAAGTGGCTGTATATTTTGCATCCCCACCAGCAATGAATGAGGGTGCCTGTTGCTCCACATCTTCATCAGCATTTGGTGGTGTTAGTGCTTTGAATATTAGCCATTCTAGTAGGTATGCAGTGCTCTTTAATTATTATTTTAATTAATTAATTAATTATATTTTATTTATGTATTTATTATTATTTTTAAAGATTTTATTGGGGAATCGGGGAAGGGGAACAGACAAGTTGCTGTCCTTTTGTTCCTCAGTCTAGTTGTGGAGGACCTTGCATCACAGGCCCATGTTGGTATTATCATTGAGCTCTTCCCAGGTGAGGCAGATTGGTCACCGGCCACTGGACAGCTGCTCACCGCGGCTCTTGGCAGCGCACACTGGCTGCTGGCTGCTCACAGTAGTTTTACAGCAGCCCCCTGCAGCCTCACTGCAGCCTACACTGTCGCCAGCAACTCACGGCAGCCCAGTTCTAGGTTGAGCTGTTGTTCACCATCTTAGTTGCAGAGGGTGCATCGTCACTAGCCCTAATATAGGATCCCAACCGTGGTCCTGCTGCTCAGAGCTGGCGTCTCAAGCCAGCTCTTAACCACTGCACCACTCAGCTGGCCCTATTGTCTTTTCTTAGCTGAGCCATCCCACCACCTGTTGGCAGCTCAGAGGCAGCTCAGCTCAGGCCGGGAATCTAACCAGTGACCTTATTGCTCAGAGCTCACACTCTTGAGTGAACTCTTAACCAACTGAGCCACTCGGCTGGCCCTCTAATTGTTATTTTAATTTGCAACTCTCTAATGACATACGATGTTGTGCATCTTTTCATATGCTTGTCATCTGTATGTCTTCTTTTTGGAGGTGTGTTCAAATCTTTTGCCCACTTTTTTTTTTTTTAAAGATTTTTATGAGGAACTGGGGGGATGGGAACAGCGGTGGGGAATTGGGGAAAGGGGAACAGACAAGTTGCTGTCATTTTGTTCTTCAGTCCAGTTGTGGAGGACGCTGCCTCACCGGCCCAAGTTTGCACCATCATTGCGCTCTTCCCAGGCAAGGCAGATCAGTCACCGGCCTCTGGACAGCCACTCACTGCGGCTGCTGACCACTCAACGCTGGCTGCTGGCCACACACGGTAGCCTATGGCAACCCACTGCCACAGGAGCTGCAGCCTACGCCATCGCCGGCGACTCACAGCAGCCCAGCCCCAGGTCCAGCCGCTGTCCAGCATCTTAGCTGCGGAGGGCAGTGTCACTGGCCCTCATATGTGGGATCCGAACCGGGGCCCTCTGGCGTCCCAAGCCAGTTCTCAACCATTGCGCCTCTTGGCCAGCCCTGCCCACTTTTTAATGGGGCTCATTTTCTTACTGTTGAGATTTAAGAGTTATTTGTATGTTTTTGGATACAAGTCCTTTATCAGATACGTGTTTTACAAATACCGGGGGTGCCAAAAAAATGTATACACATTTTAAGATAACAGCTCTTAAAATGTGTACACATTTCTTTCGGCACCCTCTGTATTTTCTCCCAGACTGTGGTTTGTCTTTTCATTCTCTTAGCTGTGTCTTTCACAGAGCATGTTTTTATTTTATTATTATTATTTTTTTAAAGATTTTTATTGGGGAATTGGGGGATGGTAACAGTGCTGGGGAATTGGGGGAAGGGGAACAGACAAGTTGCTGTTGTTCTGTTCTTCAGTCCAGTTGTGGAGGATGCCGCTTCACTGGCCCAAGTTGGCACCATCACTGCACTCCTCCCAGGCGAGGCAGATCAGTCGCCGGCTTCTGGACGGCCGCTCACTGTGGCTGCTGGCCGCTCACACTGGTTGCTGGCTACACACAGTAGCCCATGGCAACCCACTGCCACAGGGGCTGCAGCCTACGCCGTCGCCGGCGACTCATGGCAACCCAGCTCCAGGTTGAGCCGTTGCTCAGCATCCCAGCTGTGGAGGGCAGTGTCACTGGCCTTCACATGTGGGATCCGAACCGGGCCCTCTGGTGTCCCAAGCCAGTTCTTAACCATCACGCCACTCGGCCGGCCCACAGAGCATGTTTTTAGTGAAGTACAACTTAACGATTTTTTCTTTCTTGGGTCATGCTTTTGACATTGTATCTAAAAACTCAATGTCAAACTCATGGTCGCCTAGATTTTCTCCTAGGTGTTTTATAGTTTTTGAATTTTACATTTAAGTCTATGATCCATTTTGAATTAATTTTTAAGAAAGATTTAACATCAGTGTCAAGAATTTTTTTTTTTGCATGTGGATATCCAGTTTTTTCATCACAATTTGTTGAAAAAACTACCCCTTCTCCATTGAAGCTTAACTTGTTTTCAACTGTTGAAAAATAAAGCAAACATATATCAACTGTTACTGCAGTGACTAGTTGAACAGTAGGCATGACTTGTTCAACCAAATGGACTCTTTAATGCTTATGAATAGTTCCTGAGAAGAGGGGTCCTCATTTGATGGTTACTGTGAAGATGACAGGCTAGAAAACCGAGGCAGCTCCTTCATTCTCTTTATCCTGTTCATATCTTCATACCACTCTATTAGACAGTGGTATGAAGATAGGAACACAATACTAGGAGAGGACAAAGAGGGCAACTTTTAAATCAGATTGGGAAATGTTTCACAGAAGAGGTAACTATGGAACTGAGACTTAAAAAGTGGTAGAATTTTAACACAGTATTTGAAAGGCATTCAGGATAGAAAGAATTGCACTTAAAGTAGCTTAATGGCGTAAAAGAGTATGATACAACCAGGGGCCATTGATTGGGTCTTTATATTTGGAATACATGGGGATCAATGGCAGAAGATAAGATCTTCTCATGTGATATGTTGGGTCAAGTTGGAAAGCATCTACCACCCTAAGAATTTAGACTTTACCTTTGACCGTGGTAAATAATGGAAGGTAAATTTCAGCAGAGGGTGGGTAGCTTGATTAGATCTTTGTTTTAGAAAAGTAAGTTTGCTAGCAAGAAGGATTGAAGAGGGTAAAGCCAAGGGAGGGAGATCAGCTGGAATGCTACTGCAATAGCATGAGAGAGATGATGAAGCGTAAATTAAAAACATGGCATTGGAAATAAAATCTTAAAGATAGATTTGAGATACGCTTAAGGGGTAGAATCAAATTGCAATATTTAACTGCCCGACAGTGGTTTAATTTACTTACATTAAAAGTAATCAGGATTGGGCTGGCCGAGTGGCTCAGTTGGTTAAAAGTTGGCTTAAGAGCACGGGCTCTGAGCAACAGGGCCACCGGTTCGATTCCCACATGGGCCAGTGACTCTGTGCCTAAGCTGAGCTGTTACTGAGCTGCCAACAAGTGGCAGGATGGCTCAGCTGGTGTAACAACAACAAGATTGCCTGTTCGATGGTGGGCTATGCCCCCCCGCAACTAAGACTGAACTCAGCAGCTCAGAGCTGAGCTGCCATTCGGATGGCTCAGTGGATAGGGCTGGCGCTCTTAACAATGAGGCTGCTGGTTCGACTCCCTCATGGGATGGTGGCTATGCCCACCTGCAACTAAGACTGAACTCGGCACCTTGAGCTGAGCTGCCACCTGGATGGCTCAGTGGATAGAGCGGCACTCTTCACAACAAGGCTGCTCATTCAGCTCCTGCATGGGATGGTGGCCACATTGAGCTTAGAGGCCACCAGCTGCCGACGGGAAGCCAGATGGCGACTGGTGCTCTCCACAATGAAGATTGAAGAACAACAACTTGGCTGGTCCCCTTCCCCAATTCCCCAACACTGTTCCCCCTCCCCCAATTCCCCAATAAAATCTTTAAAAAATAATAATAATAAAAGTAATCAGGATCTAGAATTAATACAATGGGATTCCAAGGAAAGCAAAGTGTTAGTGAATGCAGGAAGATGGGGGAATAGAGGAGGTGATATATCTAAATATTCCTCCTTCTTCAACTCCACTCATTCCCTGAACATAAATATATACACGTCATGGCCATGGTCCTGGAAAATACTTTCTTGTTTCTTTGTTCCATGAAAACAGAGATAGCAAGCAAACGAGAGTGCTAGCTTTCTATTTACATCAGATCGCTGTACTATGCATTTCTCTTTCATTGTTCTTCTCCATTATACTCTTACATTAATTTGTGGAATTACTAGATTATCATTAGTCACTAATGTTTGTTTCTCCCATTAGCTTAGAAGTTCCATGAGGGCAGTTATTCATATCTGTTTTTGCTCATTTTATCTCCAGCACTTAGCACATGATAGACGCTCAATAAATGGATGGATATGGATATGGATATGGATATGGATATGGATATGGATATGGATGAATGAAATGGATGACTAAATGGGTTCTAATCATGGCATTTCCATTGTGTGATTGATTGATTGATTTGCTGAGTCTTTAAGATCTTTCTCAAAACTAATGATTGCTATGATTGGGTGATTATTAGAATCTTTTGGGCAACTTAAAAAATATGTATCTATATAACATATATATTACTGTTTCTCTCCACCCCCCTGAATCCTGACCATCGTTATTTTGAAAATGCTTCCCTACAACATTTCTGAGGATGAACAAGGATTTAGGAATTATGGTCAATATAGTGTCTTAAGAATATACACGTAATTCTCTTCTGTGTAGTACTTTGTTCATATGTTATAGCCCTTAACTCATTGTATTGTAATAAATTGTGTCTGTTTTGCATTACTTAAACTATAGCTACTTTAGCATAGAGTTAATTTCCTGGTTTGTGGGCCAAGCAAAAATCCAGACCAGGGATTGGCTCAACTAGCAGCCTAGATGGTTTGTTTGCACCAGGTTAAGAAATTAGTATCTCGTTCTAATTAATGATAAAGCCTTCCATTCAGGGGCCATTTTAAATCTATCAAATATTTATGATCATTGTATTAGTGAGAAAAGATAAGATTAAGGAGACAAGCTAGAAAGAGAGGTTACTTTTTATTTGCTCTGGTTCTCACAAAACCCATTCAATTAAGTATGACAGTAATATTAATACATGAAATAGGCATCAACAATAACAAGGTGGCAGTGATTTTTCTCTCATCTTTATCCACCAAGTTGTAATCATGAAGGATTGATTAACTTTTTCCTTTTGTATTATTAAGGAAGAAAAACAGAAAAAGAAAATGGCTGCAAAGTTGGAACTGGCAAAATTTCTTCAAGAAACGATTACAGAAATGGCAAGGAGGAACAGGGCCAACCTGGGAGATGCCTCTACCCAGTTTTCATCCTATGTCAAACAGGTCTTTCATATAATACCAAACAACTTCTGGGCTGGGAGTGACATGAAAAAAGCATGTCATCGTGGATCTTCCCAATTGTTCACAATCTCTGAATTTGCAAATCTAAGTTATATACATACAATATTGCAAGCATTGATAGTAGTTTGCAGAAGTGTTTATCTTAAAGCATTCAGTGTGCTAAAGACATTGATAATTTCTTGGAAAGAACAGTAGAATTAGAGTCAAACTTTTTATTTTATTTTTAATTTTTTTAGCTGAGCCATCCTGCCACCAATTGGCAGCTCAGCAGCAGCTCAGCTCGGGCCGGGAATCGAACCGGCGACCCTGTTACTCAGAGCTCGACTCTTGAGCGAGCTCTTAACTAACTGAGCTATTCGGCCGGCCCGTGGAGTCAAACTTTTGAACTACTTCTGATTGATTTAGTCTGACTTCGAACAGATTTCTTTCCTCCTCTTTTTACTACAGGTCCCATTATCAAACATAAGATAGAATCCATAAATGCTTTGACATGTCTTTCAAATAGTCTACTGGGAAGGCTAAATTAAGTAGGAAACATATTATTATTATTTTTTTTTAGCTGAGCCATCCTGCCACCTGTTGGTAGCTCAGCGGCTGCTCAGCTCGGGCTGACTCGAACCGCTGTTGCTCAGAGCTCAAACTCTTGAGCGAGCTCTTAACCAACTGAGCCACTCAGCCGGCCCCCTAGGAAACATATTTTAATTAGCCTTTTTGTCCCACTGCCTAGGTCCAGACAGGCCACAAGCCCAGCACAAAGGAGATAGTTCGCTTTTCCAAACTATTTGAGGATCAGCTTACCCTGGAGCACTTAGATCGACCTCAGCTGGTTGCCCTTTGCAAACTGCTGGAATTGCAGTCCTTTGGAACCAACAATTTGCTCCGCTTTCAGCTCCTGATGAGACTGAAGTCTATAAAAGCAGATGATGAAGTAAGAGCTTAACTATCGCTGTAGAGAATTAGCAAGACATTGGGAGATATGTCTTGGGTGGCTCAGAGATGAAGTGCAATATCTTCTGTTAGGTCTGTCTGCTCATGGACTGGTTCTGGCAAAATGAGTGGTTTAAACAACCATTACCATGACAACCTGAACCTTGCTTACTCATTTTAGGAGTTGTTTATCCTATTCATTTTCTTGAGAAGGCCATCATAATTTGGATGTCTTAGCTGGGATTAATCTAGAGCAGTTAGGACCCCCTGGGAAGGAATAGCAGCTCAGTAGATTCCTGAGTCTCCTTACTGCCAAGGACAGTGTGCTACTCCCACACCTCTGCTCCCCTCCCACAGAGCTGGTGCCAAAGTAAATATTCTGCTGGGTGAATTTGCCTGGTAAGAAGGGGTGGTAATGCATAATACTGGGAGAGAGAGCAGAGCCTAGACATGAAAGAAAGGCACCGTTCAGACTATAACTACTAATTAGACTCCTTTAAAAAAAGGAAAGAATCTTTCTTGAATCAGAATCAGCTGCTTTAAAGCATTCTGCCTGAGGGAGCACGAGTCCCAGAACTGAGAAGCATGATCCCATTGGACCCATTTGGATTTCACTTCTTGCTTTCAGAACTTTGGAACAAACAATACTGGTCCCAGAAGTACCACAGTTTCGGGTCACACCAAGCAGAAACTGTTATTTATTGAGGGAGTTTTGTGAACCAGAGAGTTAGGGCCATTCTGAGGTTGGTGGTAGGGGATAGTAGGGAAACAACACTACTGGGACATGCAACAAATGGTACATTGAAAGCTTTTCAAGTGAAATGTTTATTTTATTTTTTTAGGAATTTATTGGGGAATTGGGGGAAGGGGAACAGTGTTGGGGAATTGGGAAAGGGGAACAGCCAAGTTGTCCTTCAATCTTAGTTGTAGAGGGCGCAGCTAGCTCAGCTCCAAGTCCAGTCACCATTTGGCTGCCCAGCTCAAGGTGCCGTGTTGAATCTTAGTTGGTGGGGGGGGGGAATGGGAGGTGGCAGTGCAGCCCACCATTCCATGCGGGAGTCGAACTGGCAACCCTGTTGCTCAGAGCTCGTGCTCTTAACCAACTGAGCCACTTGACCAGCCCTGAAATGTTTTTTAAATGAATCCTAACACTACCGTGAAAGGGAAGAGGAGAGATGTCACAAGCAGATGAAATGCAAGTCAAGAGGGAAAATAATTACTTTGGTGACAGAATGTTGGGGAGAAGTTATGTAAATAGCTCTGAGATTATTAATACCTGTTGGCAGGATTCCCTCTATCTCAACTGCTACACTTTCCTAAGTCACCCTGTTGTTTTAGGCTCGGGGCCTTTGCAGTAGTCAGTGCAGGGGATAAAGTGTGAAAGCGTCAGATCCTCTGTGTCCCCTGATTTGTTGGAATTTAGGGATTAAGTAAAATAAAAACCATAAGATCCACTACCATTCCTTATACTTCTTTCAGATAATCGCCAAAGAAGGGGTTAATGCTTTGAGTGTGTCAGAGCTACAAGCTGCCTGTAGGGCCCGAGGGATGAGATCACTGGGTCTCACTGAGGAACAACTGAGACAACAGCTCACAGAGGTAAGTGGCAGTGTTCCTGGGCCCCTTTCACTAGAACTCTCATCCCTACAATTTGCAGACCTCGTTTTGTGATTTCTACTTGGCAAGTGAACCATCTTATCTAGTTTGCCTTATTTAATGGAGCAGTGATGCTGAAGCAGCTAGATTCATTTTTGATTGAGACAGGGTACTGTATTAGTTTTCTAATCCTGCATAACCAATGATCACAAACATATTGCCTTAAAACAACACGCATTTATTAGCCCATGGTTCTGTAGGTCAGAAGTGCAGACTGTGTTCCTTTCTGGAGGCTGGGAGGGAAGACGACTTCCAAGCTCGTTCAGTTTGTTGGCTGAATGTAGTTCCTTGCAGCTGCAGGACTGAGGTCCTTGTTTCCTCACTGGCTGTCAGCCCTGGGCTACTCTCTGTCCTGGAGGCCACCTGCATCTGCGAAGCTAGCAGTGGAGAACCTCTCACATGACAAACCCCCCCCCCCATCCCCCCAGCCACCATGCTTTGAATATCTGACTTCCCTTGTTTTCTATCTCTAGCTCCAGATTTAAAGGTCTCATGTGATTAGGTGAGACCCACCTGGGTAATCTTCCTATCTTAAGGTCAACTGACTTGGGACCTTAGTTATATCTGCAAAATCAGCAGCACCTAGATTAGTGTTTGACTACATAACTAGGAGAAGTTGTGGGTACACGAGGGACCGGAATCTCAGGGACACCTTAGAATTTTGCCTGCTCCAAGTATTGTAAGGGCCTGGGCAAAATCTCTAATATAAGGCTTGTTACCTGTGTGGATCTATCTGGAGGTCTAATCTTACCTGGTGGCTCACCCGACTGCTTTCGCAATTAGTGTCCCAAACCAGTGTACAGTGTTAGCTTTGGTAACAAATGTTTAATATTTTTCCCTCAGATAACAGAATCTAACTGAGTGTTAATGTTTTAAAACAAAGGAGTAACTCTTATTAAAGTTCTCATTCCTATAACTGTAAAAAGTGCAATAAAGTGTACACGAATTATTTTGAGATATGAGCCATTGTTGTAACTTTGAAACCATACAGGTAGCTATTTCCTCTTATATGTTGGACCTGCTCTAATTGGAAGATGAACATATTGTAAAGAGGTATTAAAATAATTTCTTTCTTGAACATAGAGTATTAAGTGGCTTCATACTGTCAAATTGCTTTCTTGAAAGGGTGTCCCATTTTACAACCCCCACTATAAGGGCGTGAAGCTACTAATGCAACCATATGATATGCAGCACTATATAGTATTCAGAAAATTCTGTGTTAGGATATGGGAAGACATTTTAGGGAAAGGAAAAAATCTAAAAATGTTAAACATGAAACATCTTAACATAAATTAAAACTATGAGATACCACATTTACCTATTATGTTGGCAAAGATCAGCGTTTGATAACACACCGTGTTGGTGAGGGTGTAGGGAGAGGGACTCTCATGCATTGCTGGTAAAAGCCTCCATAGAGGCTTGGCAATATCTTTAAAAATTTTTAAATAGATTTACTTTGACCCAGCAATTTCACTTCTAAGAATTTATTCTATGTTCTTGCACATGTGCAAAATGACATATCTACAAGATTATCTATTGCAGCATTGATTATAACAGCAAAAGATTAGAAACAGCATAAATCTCATTAATAGGAGCATAGTCAAATAAATCATCACATTTCCATATAGTGGAATCCTTTACAGATGTTTAAAAAGGAGGCAGCTTTATATCTACTGATATAACTCAATGTGCAAGATGACATACGAGGTGTGATAAAAAAAATACAGTGAATGTTTAAATAAAAAAATGTATTACAGTAAAATACACATTGCCATTAATCCCCCTTAGAATACTCCCCCTGGCTTCAAACACACTTATCCCATCATTCTTGCCACTTTCTGAAGCAGTTCTGGAAGTCCTCTTTTGTGTCTTTAATTGTATTGTAGTGGCTGCTTCAATGTCCTGAATTGATCCAAAACGTTTACCTTTCATGGTCATTTTGGCTTTGGGAAAGAGCCAGAAGTTGAACAGTGCCAGATCTGGCGATAAGGTGGATGAGGACACACGGTAATGTTTTTATTCGACAGAAATTGCTGTATACTACAAACGATGTGTGACACGGAGTGTTGTCATGATGGAGGATGACTTACGGCACACTTTAAAACACACCTCTCAACTGTAACTTATACCTGACTGACTGCACTGAACAAGTTGCAACTCATCACACAGTTACTAAGGCTTACTAAGGCTCAACACACTGCTTCCCATATTAAAGATCCTTGCCTTTCCATTGGATGGCACTCGGCATTAGCATTCACTGTATTTTTTTTAATTACACCTATTTCAGTGAAAAAAAGCAAAGACAAAAAAGAGTGTGTATATGTCACCCTTTGTGTAAAAATAAAAAACATATACATATGTATATTTGTATATGCATGGGATATCGCTGGAAGGTTATATAAAGGACTGGTACCAGTGCTTGCTTCTAAGGAGGAAAATAGGATTGCTAGAGAAGAGGCATAGAAGGCAGGCTTATTTTTATCGATTACATTTTACCTTTTGAATTTTGTCACTTCTGCATGTATTATATTGATCTAAAAAACCATATTTTTTTTAAAGCTTAGCCAATTTGGTACTTGAAAACTTACATCTCATTATTATTTTAATGTTTATTTCTTTGGTTAAGAATGAGGCTGATTTATTCTTTAACATTATCTACTTTGTGTTTAAGAGAAGATACTCAGCTTCTTTGATCCACAATTGGTTTGAGAGTTTAATTGAACATTCTCCGACTCTGAGAGTGATCCCACTGGAGTAACGGGGGGGGGGGGGGGGGGGGGGGATGCAGGATACAACCACTGGTGCAAACACTGGGGGACGAATGTTTTTATCCTCTTTCTGCCGCTAGTTATCAGCATGCACCTGTGGAAGCTGTGAAACCAAGGAAGCAGTAGATGATTGCAGGTCACATCCAGTTATAACATTCTGTGATTCTATCATGTTTATTTCCCTCCCATTCTCCAGTGGCAGGACCTCCACCTGAAGGAGAATGTCCCTCCTTCTCTTTTGCTCCTGTCACGAACCTTCTACCTGATAGACATGAAGCCAAAGCCAATTGAGATCCCACTAAGTGGGGAGGTAAGTAGCTGGGTGCATGGAGAATCTGGATTTCCATAACTAGGGCCTCTTCACAGATGTCTTATTTTCTATTGCAGTCAGATTTGGCATTTCTTTTGGTATATATTTTGGAATTTGGCCCAATTGGCATGAAAAATCTTTTTTAAATCCCTAATAAATAAAATTACTGAAACTACCTCAGCTATAGGGCTGTTACTGCCTTTAATCCCAGCTTGCTTTAGTTTTACAAACAGTTTCTTCTTTCTCATTCACTATCTAGTCTTCATTAGCAGACTTGATTTTTTTCCCCACCACTCTTTCCCCTCTGAGACTGAATGGTTCCATTCTGTCATGTCTGTTTCATTTGTCCAGATACCTATTCATTTTTAAGCCATGAATGGCCACTCTAGAATGTAAACTTTTTGTCTTCAACTCATTTTCTTAGTCTTTTTTTTGTTGTTGCCTTTAATTCAGCAGCATTTTTTCTCCTTGTATTTTACTGAAGAACCCAGGCTTGGCCCAGTCACTAGAGCATCTTGCTCTGGGTCCATCAGAAAGGGCCTCTCACTTTTCTACTTTGTGGCTTCATGTCTACCTCAGAAACTGCATGGATGAGAAAGGAAAGACCATTATATAAGATGCTGCACATGTGGTTTAGTAGCTTAGACTTAGTACTCTGGAGTAAGGACCAACCATTTTTAATCTTGGTTATGCTGTTGACTCCTTGGACAAGCCATGGGAAATTATATGAAGTCTAGCATAAAAATGTGCTTCAGGAGACACCATCTTGCTTTCCCTTTTCATAGTTCCAGAAACTAATCTGGCTTTGGGCTTTGTCCAGGAAGGATTCTAGGGAGACTAGGAACAACTTTGGAGCACGGACCATGTTCTAAAAGGCAAGCTCCTGGGTTCTTACTCTATCTTTGGACTTTAAGACAGACCAAAATTATTTGTCATTCTTAGACTGCTGTCAGGAGCAAGGAAATCTTGGAATAGCACAATGTCTCAGAGCTAAATTTGGGTTCTCAGAATTATTGTAGATGGGCATAAACTCTTTATCCAGATGTTGCTTTCTGGAATGGTTGAGAAAGACCAAAGAATTAAGGACAAAATGACAAGCTCCTAGGTATTTTATTGGTTGTTTGTTTTTTTTAAACCCATGTTTTTAAACTTCTGTTCTCCATATATACAAAATGAGAACAAGTAGCATGCTAGGTTCTGTAAAAATTTACACATCAAATTGAATATCCTATAATTTTGGATATATGTAGCTCTTTTTCCTCCAAAGTACACAAAGAAATTACTTATTTCCAAAGAGCAGTAATATATTTTTCAAATCTAATTAATGCAATTCTTAAAGACAGGGTGGCTATTCTAAAATATCACCCCTTCCCTCCATTTTCCTCATGTTGCAGCTTCTATTAAGCAGCACCTACCATTATAATAAATAAGGCAACATTTATTAGACACCAAAAATGATAAAGATATCAATTTTCACTAAGTTATATCAATGCTATTAGAAACTGATGAGTAATTGAGAAATGGCAACTTTTGGTTTTTGAGCCCAAGAATAGGACCAAAATTGGCAAACCAGTAGCTTGTTAATGACTGAGGATTTTAAATGCTAGAATCTATTTAAAGTGCAACTTTGGTATACTGAGTGCTCAAAACTCAAAGATAAATAATACTAAATTGCTATTTCAGTAACATATGTCATGTTACTCATAAAGGGTATATTTGGAGGAAGTTAGAGATTTGGTGGAAAGCAAATTGTGCTTGAAGGCATCAACTACTGTAGAAGTGCTTCTGAGAGGCAGGAACAGCAGAAAGCTTATGCTTATATAAAATATTTTCTCCTTCCCTAGGCTCCGAAGACAGATATTCCTATGGAATCACCTACTTCCCCTGAATCTAAAGAGAACATGGTGGATTTAGCACCTCAGCTGAAGGGTACTAAGGTTAGATCATTACTTTTCATGATTAATTAGGTTAAAAAATGAAAGTAACAAGTTAATTTCTCTATTTTTAACCCCCTTAATTAAACTGAACTTCAGTGGTGTTCTTTAATAAGGAATATTTATTGTACAGTTTGATCTGTTTCTAAGAAAGTTCAGCATTTGGCTATATGTAGTTAGGTTCTATATTTTGCCTTTTGAATCTGTGCCAGAATATGAAGTAGTTGTTCCAGGTTCCTGGTAGTCATGGCAGTGTGACTATAGATCTAATGCACATTGTTTTAAATAAGTAACCCAACTCTTGGTTCTGATATTTAAGGATGAAAAATGTATGCAACTGCCATCAATTACATCATCACCCACACCACCATCAATACCTATTTCATTACCTAAAGGATCCATCACTTCTGCTAAAGAAGCTGTTAAGTATTATCTAAAAAAAGAAAATCCCTTTCCCTCTAGTTGTTTCTAAGGGCAGTGAGAATCTAGAATTGTAACTATTGTAAAATACTGCGTAGTTCTTCCTGTCATCCAAACAGGAAGTTGTAGGCTGAACTTTAGTCATCTTATAACCACTACATTTTTTAAACTCAATTATCCAAAAGAAAAAAAACAAAACAAAACAAAAAAACCAATGCAGTCATAAATCAGACCTAAATATGTTAAGTCTAGGAGCTAATTATAATATAGGCATTCTTATTTTCTTTTGTGCCAGATGGAAATAGTTCCCATATGTTGTGTATTTCACACAGGATTCATATGTCAGGAAATACTAGCAAGAAAGCAATTTAAATCTTAGGAGAAATGTGTGTAAATAAGAAATTACTTATCTATCCATTTTTCCCATTTGGGTAAAGGAATTTGGGACAAGAGCAGAAGGAATGACACAGTCAACAGTGGGGGGGGGGGATTATGGGGGAGTTGAACTGTGGAGTGAGTGGCTCTACTGGCTCCTGAGGACCAAAGAGCACCAGTAAACACACAGATGGTGTAGACATCCAGGGGTCTGGTTTGCATGTCTTTATTTTTATTACCAAGGTAAATTACAAACTCAGATTTGACTTTGTGGTTTGTCATTATTTTGATTAAGGAAGCTAAAAGGGGACTCCTAAAGAACTTACACATCTAATTGTGACCAGTGCTTAAAGTCCTTATGTTTTGTACCTAGACACTCCAGGCCAAGTCACAGGAGACAACCCAAAACAACAAGGCTAGTTCGAAAGGAGCATAAGGACTACTGGAGGATGAAGTTCTTTCTCTCCAGCTTCCTGCCTTCGGCAGTGACATCCATAAAGGGCCTCCCAGTTAAGACTATCTGTGTCTGGTTTGAGTAGAGGATCAACCATTTAGTCCTTGGGGCAGTCCTTTGAGGCCTTATAACTATTCCAGATGATGTCAGCAGTGAGACCAAGTTCAGACCATTTAGAAAAATATAACTGCAAAGCCCATTTCCTCTGTACCATTATGTCATCCCACTTAACTTTGTGTAAAGTGCCCCCCCCCATACTGTTTTTAACACCTTCATGTTTGTGCCCACATCCTTTAAGGGAGGAAACTTTTTCCATAATGGAACCAACTTAGTGCCTTAGATACCTCTGTCTCCTATGGCTTGGTAACCTGAGTAAGAACTTGGAAACTCCAAAAACGATTTTAAGAGCACCTGACCAACTTTTTCAGATTGACTGATCCATCAGGAGGAATAGTTACCCTGAAAACAAATTACCTTATGAGATGGAATGGATATACTCCCCAGTAAGATCTTTCTGGATATAAAGAAAAAAGCTTCTTGGAGAATAAAATGGGGAGTTAAACAGACTGGCAATCAAAAAGGTTTGACTGCTGCTTGGCTGTTTGGAGACATCCCCCTCTGGGCCTGCAGGAACCTGGAAGGTGGCCACGATTCTAGCACATATGGCTTTCATTAGCCACCATTTTGCTAGGAAACATAATTAAGGGTTTAAGACTTAACCATTTGTTTGGGCTGGGTGTGTTTTTCTGGTATGTTTGTCTTTCACAAACAAGACTATTTGTTAGTCATAGGGATTGTTCAAGTCTGATATAATCCCCATGCTACCCAACAACAAATATTACCTTCTGATATTTATTTTCAGTGTTTTCAGTATCGTCCATACTGAAAAAACAATATAATAGATTGTCATGCAGCTGACCAACAGCTTTCTTCCCTTGGGGAGCGCTTAGCAGGGAATAGGTATCTTGGCCTGTGGGTGACGAAATTATTGGGTTGTCGGAAAAGTCATGACATGTTTTCTGTTTTTCGTTGCAAAAATGCGTCATGACTTTTCCGACAACCCAATAGATTTCCTTACTTTCTATGAAATTGAAAGCACTTAGATAGGAATCAATTAAACCAAGTAAAACTCAAATCTCCTTGTCTGGAATCACCTAAATGAGGACTGTCATCAGCATTTCATAGCAAGGATATGTGCTTTTACGAGCTTCCTAAACCTCCTCTCCAACAGAGGACAAGCCCCACCACGTCCTGCTAATGAACTCCAGTTCCTTGAGAACGATGAATCCCTCCTATGCAGCATTTCATGGGTCTCGTCATTGGCTGAGCAAGGTGATTCACAATAAATTTCCCCACTTTTAAAATGATAGCTGTTTAATTAGTTCACATTTCAAGTGTTGACTGTGGGAAAGGGATTAGCTACTTAACTTGTTCAATCCTGTTGACGCTGAATGATGCACAGGTACTGTTGGGCTACAATTCTTTCTGGCTTTCCCTGTGAGCAGAGTAGGAACGGTTAGGTCAAGGGGCCCCTGGCCACTTTTGACCCCAGTTGGCCTTCACCCGTTTTTGCTTCATAAACAGGCATCAGAGACACTTGATACCACCTCTCTTCCCATTCTTAGATAGTTCAGAGAAGTCAAGGTTGCTTCTTTGTTCTCATCACTTACAGCACTTGGCTGTGGGGTTCCATGATTGTTACATTTAGCTCCATGTTGAAACTGAGCTATTGGTGTTCTGGTAAATTAACAACCAACTTTGGGGGGGAGGGAGGGGCTGATCTGTAGCATTTGCAGATTCCAGTGATGTAAATACTCCCACATGGCTGACTTCAAGCTACCAACAGGCCACTGAACAACAGAGTTGGGAAGAGATGTATGCAGTTGGCTCAAGAACCAGCCCCAGTACATCACCAACCCTAGTCCCTACTGGAGTAACAAGACAATTAAATCTCTAGTTGTTGTGTCCATTAAATGTATAACTTGTAAGTACCGGCACAAATATCTTGAAGGCAGTACAATATAAGGACTGCTAGCCAACCTAGAGAGAACTTGCCCAAGGCTGAGTCTTCCCCACCATTTGGGTTCTTGCTGACCTTCTCTCTCCCTGGCTCGCAGCTGAAGGAATAGAAGACCATGCCCAGTTGCTACACAGCTTTCTCCTTTCCCTGTTCTCTCCTCGTCCTTCCAGATGCATGTGCCTTAGCTGTACCAGCTGCTAATAATCTGAGTATAATTTTAGGCGTTTTTTAAAACCCAACCTCACTGGTGATGTCAGACTTGGCCTATATCTTAGACATTGAAAATTCTGCTACAATAGAGAGGTGCTGGTGGCACTTGGCATTCATGGACCTGCACTTGTGCTGTGTCTAATTCTGAAGTTTAGTCATTACAATATGAGTCACATTGATGATGTCGAATACATGTTCTGTAATGCTAAAAACCAGGCTAAAAGATCTGCCAGTCACCACAGTACACACCTACTAATGGAACTTCCAAGCAGACTGACACATTACCTAATGTACTGAGATTTTGGCCTGCTGGCTCCTCCCAGTGGCCGCTGATAAACACAGTGACTTCACTGTCATTGAGATAGATTTCTTGCTTCATGTGAGGTTCAATCTTACTTACCTGAGATCAATACATTACATTAGCGGTACCAAGGGACTGATGATCCCTAGCCTATCACAATTAGAAAAGGCAGAAAGGCAGTTATTGATTAATGCTGTGGTGATCCCAGGCCCTAATCTTTTAACCCTCAGGAAACCAGATTCAGTGCTGTGACAGCACGTCGTCTTCATTAGATAAACTGGATTCCTTTCCTCAGGAGACCCAATCTGGTCATCTAAGTAAAACGGTCATTTCATTTTCTCTCAGGTCAATTTCACTATCTTTTATTAGACAGGCAGCTTAGTCTCTGGGGACATTCGTGGATGATTTGAGTGGTAACAGCGAAGACATCACTGTTGTAATAGTGCCTTATATTTATCCAGCACCTCTCCCGAAGGCATATAAAACTCTTTATAGATTCAAGGGCCAAGGCAGAAATTATCATCACTATTTTACAAGGAAAGACACCACTATAAGGTCCCACCCCAACTTTACCCAGGAAAGCTGTCAGGTGCCACAGCTTCTTGGAGGTGAGATACTCCATGCCTCGGGCCACCTGATTGGCGCAGGAAACCAGGTCCTTGGAGGAGAGCAGCTCCTCTGGGCTGTGGCTGGGGTTGTAACAGTATTCCAGACCAGGAGGCCTCCGGGCCTGCAAGTACTCCCGTAGGTTGCCCTTGGAAGCATACTCCTCGATGACGTGCAAAGGACCTAGTACTAAGAGCTAAAATTCACTTCCTGGCTCTGTTCACCAAATAATGCCTTCGTTAATAAACAGAAACTGTAATATGTTGACATTTGTATATTTACAGACACAAGGATACGAGAACTAATTTACAATAGTGGCCAACATTGCAGCTGCCAAAAAATAGCTAGCTCAGAAAGGAAACTTAAAAGCAGCAATTCCATTTTCCCTACAGAAATGAAAGTGGATTGAACTTTCTTTTGTTCAGCAGTAACCCAGCAAAAAAAGCAAGCTTTCCATTATAGAGGCTGAGCACTGCGTTCTAAGGAGCCAGGACGCACCTGGTGAGCGCAGGGATAACCAGCAGGTGGCAGAGGAAGTAAATTTCCAAGCAGCCAAAAAACAAACATTCAGAGAATTTTTCCCCTTTCCTGAGGGATGGGGTGGAGTTTGTACAAGAACTATAGGAGGCCAAGATCTGTGATAATCCCAACACATGCAGCCTGGTCACATGGATACAGGAAGCCTGGTGTGGGGGAGGACCATGAACACAGAGCAGGCTGGGAAACATGAAGCAGCGGACCTACCTGAATGTAAAACTAGTCGTAGGTGACACGTTTGCCCTCACACAGCAGCACAGGCAAAACCACACCCACACAGAGGGGGTAGGCACACATCTGGGTTTGAGTTCCTGCAGGCCCTTGTTGAATAATCCTGAGCTTTCCTCCACCTCTCTAGCTCCCCTTGGCTATTCCGAGGTAGGTTCCCACCTCCCTCTCTGACCCTCTGACCTACCCAACCTCACCAGTTTCCCCTGAGGAAACAATCAACAACCGGTTGAGAGCTGCAGAGCCTTGGCTCTTGGCCCAGGGCCTCTGGTGCACTGACAGGAGGTTCCTGCCCATTACACAGACGTCGTCGTCTCCTGCTTTTCCAAAAGCATTGGAGAGGTAAGAGGTTTGTCCTGAGGTCTCGGTGCAGGACCCAAGAGGAAGAGGTTAGGATAAAACTGCTGGGAACGCGCAGTACCCTCTGGACAGACAGACCTAGGGTCCGTTAAGTCTTGTTCCTTTCCAGCTGACATTCTCTCCCTTGTCACACAACCCATATAAAAATGAAGCAGCAGCAATTTTTATTTGAGGGACCTAAACTGAAAATAGGTTTAGAACATAATTTAAAAAAATAAAACAGCAAAAGTAGCAAAAAATATATGACCTTTTAAAAAACATTTTCCTTTTTTTCTTTTTTCTTTGTTTTTAATATATAGCAACTGATGCCTCCCAGCCACCAGGAGCATCTTACCCAATGGGTAAATCTCTGGTAACGACCCTTTTAAAAAGACATGTAAATATATACTCAGATTTATACACTTTGTGTTTTCTTCATAGCTATGTACAAAGTCCCCAGTTTGGGGCCGGGCCCCAGGGCCACAACACTGCTCCTAGCCTCCGCCTCCCCGTCCTCTGGCACCAGGTATTTGGTCAGCAAAGCAAATTAGTATCAGAATTAATAAGCCACTGGCACCATCTATCTGGAGCAGAGGTCGCCTTCGACTGAGGCCCGAAGCCCTGACCTCCCCTCACTACTACTGCAGGTAGCCCTGAGGACGAGGCACCTGCCACCAGAACACGGGGGCTTATGGGTTACGGTGAAGCAGACAAAACCAACACGAGAAAGCCCAGTCAGCTCTCACTTGCATGCCTGCTCACCTCCCGCTCCCTGACCCTCCAGGCAATGCCAGGTGGCAGGAAGGGGTCTTGGTCCAACATCTGGGAGGGAACAGAGTGGCCATCAGCAAGTACCTGCCTCTCTGTTCCTCTCTCTCACAAGCAGGTTGAGAGGAGGAAGAAGAGAGGTGAGCTCAGTGGGGTGAAGGCCTCAGGTAGGCGGCTGGCTCCTGCCAGTAGGAAAGGGGCAAAGGGGAAGGCAGTGAGTCCAGCGGGGAGTGGTGGCTGAGGGTTACAGCTGAGGATGGAGTCCGGGGAGGGGCAGTGCTGGGGTGCTAGTCAGCGTCGTTTGAGTCCGCCATTGGCAAGCTGGGCTGGGTGTCGGGGCAGACAGGGCTCCTCAGGCAACGGCTCATGTGAGAAGACAGAATCCTCCCCTGAGGAGCAGGTAGAGCTGCGGGTGTCGGGAAAGCTGGGAGAGTATTGGTCCAGGGGCATTGACAGGTCCAGGTACTCCTGTGACAGGAGAGACAAAACAACAACGGATCCAGCATTCTCCTCCCTGTGGCCGTAGTAATTCACAGAGATGTGCCTAACTGGTGATGCCTGTAGGTCTAGGATGGGACAGCCTCACCTGGTTGGAGGTCAAGGCCACAATGCGGTCCAGGTCTTCTACCAGCTGCTTGAAGGTAGGTCTTTGAGAGGGTACTGCGTGCCAACAATCCCGCATCATCATGTACCTGTGGCCGGATTGCAAGGCCAGGGGAAAAAGGACGTAAGCAGAGAGATTAAGAAGCTCATGGTGGAGGGACTGTGGGAATGACCAGGAAGGGCTGCTGAATCTAGTTGAACACCTTTTCCTTCCTCTTCCCATCAAACCCATTCTGCCCCCCAGGGCCTAGCTCAGGACCTCAGGCATCTGCTCATGCTTACAGCTCATTGGTGCAGTTACTGGGCTTGTCCATACGATGACCCTCCTTCAGCAGCTTGAAGAGCTCCTCCACAGGCACACCAGGATATGGGGAGCCGCCCAGAGTGAAGATTTCCCACAGGAGCACCCCAAAAGACCACCTGTGGATAAGCACAGAGGTTCTGGGTGATGCGGGCACAGAGGTAGGCCAACCTCGAGTCCTTTCCATCTCACACCAGTGTGCTAGCTACCCATCCTGAACCCACCGTACCCCCAACACAAATCCTTAATTCCAAGGGGAATACTAGGAGACAGTGCAGAGAACAGATCAGTTTTTCCACCCCAGGAACAAAGTGAATAGATACATACAATGTTTTGGTTTTTTTCCCGAGATGGAAGGAGACCCTCATCCACCCAGAGGGGAGGACGGGACCCTATCGTCCTGGACATTTTCTATCCCAAGTATCCCTGCCAATTGCCCATTTCAAACTCACACATCACTCTGGTGGGTGTAGATCCGGTCAAACAATGCCTCGGGTGCCATCCACTTCACAGGCAGTCGCCCCTGCAAGCAGCACGGGGAGGTTGGGGGTGGCCCAGGGCAGGGCGATCAGGGACTAAGGAGGGTGCATGCGGGATTGGACTTGGGAAGGAGTGCGCGTGTTCAGCTCATCCCACCACACTGATTTTCAGGCAAAGCAACCTGCATGGGGTTACAGCAGAGAGATCTAAGTGGGAGAAAGCCTAGCGCAGCAGAGTTCTGGGCAGAGGACATGCACCGAGTGGCCATGTCAGCACTTACATTGGTCGTCTTCTTATAGTAGTCGATGTGGTGAATGTCCCGAGCTAGGCCGAAGTCTGCGATCTTCATCACGTTGTCCTCTGTCACCAGAACATTCCTGGCGGCCAGGTCTCGGTGTATGCACTGTGGAGAGAGGAGGGGAAGCCAGGGGAGGGGGAGAGGGGAGAGAAGACGGGGGGCTGCAGGTGACGGGGGCACAGGCTCTAGTGGTTGCCAGCTGTCAGCACGTATCAGGGTCCAGCTGTCTGAGGCCCCCTATACTCCAGCACTCACTTTGCAGCTCGCAGGCGGGCCCACTAACCTCCCAAGCCGCCTCCTGCCACACCACTCACCTGAACATGCTAGTTCCCTGCTAGAATGTTCCTCATTTCTACTTCAAACATTCGAACACCTCCAGCTTCAGAACTCTAAAGCACATTAGCAAACCCTCTGTAGCTACCTCCTTTCCTGGTCTTTCCAACTCTTTTAGCTTTGGATTTGTACCAGAAAAGGCTGAACCTTCATGCTTATGTCCAGTCTGTATAGGTATGTGCTTTCCAGCTCTGTGTCTCCAGGCACAGCATATCCATGCTGGGTTGGAGCCCAAACAAAACCAGTGTTTAGCGAGCACTGAAAACTGTACTGAACACTCTCACACAACTTCACTTTACTCCCGTAACCATTCTTATTTTATATTTGAAGAAACAGAAAATATGAAGTAGCTGCCCAAGGCTACACAGAAAGTGGCAGTGCACAGATGTGAACCTGACCTAGTCTGAACCCCAAGGCCACACGGCTACACTGGTTCTCCTGACGCCGATGTCCCCTGAGAGCGTAAGACAGCACATATGGTCAGTGCTCAATGTGTCTATGACTCTGAAGGATAGAAAGTCATAAGCTGTGGAATGCGGAGGGCCCTGTTCCCACTCCAACTTCACCCAGGAGAGCTGTCAGGTGCCGCACCTTCTTAGAGGCGAGGTACTCCATGCCTCGGGCCACCTGATAGGCGCAGGATACCAGGTCCTTGGAGGAGAGCTGCTCCTCGGGGTTGTGGCTGGGGTTGTAACAGTATTCCAGACCAGGAGGCCTCCGGGCCTGCAAGTACTCCCGTAGGTTGCCCTTGGAAGCATACTCCACGATGACGTACAAAGGACCTGAGCGTGAGGATGAAGAGGCCATCAGGGCAGGCAGGCTGGTTAAGCAGGTTTCGTCTCACCTCAAGGAAACCCCACCCCCTAAGGGCACACCCTAACCTAACCTCCCCTTCAGGAAAGTTCAGGAAAATTCATCCCACCACCCGAAGAGAGTCGGGGAAATAATTCTTCCCAGCATAGTCCAGAAAGTTCCCAAGCAGAGTTGGGCGTTAAGAGCCCTAATCTAGACCACAATTACTCATCTGCTTCTATCCACACACTGTGTCTGTGACTCCAGGTATCTGTCTTCTCAGATCAACACCAATGGGCATCAGCCCATTGAAGAAATACACTGAAACTACTGCTAAACCTGCTTCTCTCCTTACCCCCCTTTCCTAGTGTGGCTAAGAGATGCCTGGTCACTGACAGCCTAGCTTATCTTTTCCTTGACAGATACTGTTCTTTGAGCAGCAGGCCCACATTCCCATCTGAGACCCTACGCCAAGCCCAGCCTGGCTTAGTACCTACCATCCTGCGTGCAGGCCCCCAGCAGGTTGATGATGTTCTTGTGCTTCCCGATCATCTTCATCATCTCCATTTCTGAGATCAGGTCTGACAGGTCTTTCTCTGTTGCATCCGCTTTGCACACAAACCAGAGAAGGGGATGAGACTCGTTTACTTAGGAAGGGAGGGCAACAGGAGAAAAGCTGAGGGGCAGGGATGCAGCATATGCCCGAGGAGTCCCTTTCCTCTGGAAGTGGCTTCTCTCCTCCCCTTTCCATGTCCACATTTATTTTCCCTTCCCTCTCGTGACAGCTGTTGTTGCAACATGTGGTAATGAGTGGAGCAGAGGACATGATGGGGGAAAATCAGCTAGCGATGGAATCTAGGATAAACACCCAACCACGACCCAGGCTGACCCCAAGGCACAAAGTGAGATTACGGCAATCTCGGGGTGCAGAATGCCCCCTCCACTCCCAAGCAAATCCAGGCAGGCCGTGCAGCAGGTGCGGGAAAGGGTGTTCCACTTGGCCCGAGACCCACAGGCTGCTTGGCAAGGGAAGGGATCATTTTTGCAAGGACAGAAACATCACTTACACTTCAACATCTTAACAGCCACTTTGGTCACACGGTTGGGTTTGTCCTTGTCCAGCCCAATGGCCTCCGCCAACACCACCTGCCCAAAGCAGCCCTCTCCCAGGGGTTTGCCTAAAACCAGTCTTTTGAGGAAACAAAGGGGGATGGTGTAAGTTGGGGCTGGCAAAATTCAAACTTTGAAAGGACATCCAATCTCCACTTGTCCACACTTCACTCAGGTGTGAGTGCAAAGTGGAAATGATCTTCCTGGGCGCATCTGGTGCACCTCCAGTCCCCGGGTCTCAGTACAGCAACTCCCACCATGAGAATAACAAGCAGGGACTTCCTCACAAGCTGAGAGTAGAACATTACCTGTCTCTAGGCAGCTCCCAGCGAGGGTCTTCAGGAAGCTCATATTCAGAGACCCCAGCCAGCATGGGGGTTCCACTGGAGGAGAGACGTGATGGCCGAACCAGCAGAACCCCCGAGTTCATGGACGCACTGGAGTCAGCTGACACCTACAGAGAAGCGTGGGGTCACCCTTCTAGCGAGGGAGGTGTGGGGGGATGGGGTAGGGGGGCAGATTCCTCCAATACCAAGTCAGGACTTCTCACCAATGACAGAGGTATCTATCTGTTACCTGATGTTCTTTCCCCAGCACCGAGGGGCAGAAAGACCACAAGAGGTCAGAAGACCTAAGTTCTACAATGGACTTGTTTCTGCCACCAACTAGCCTTTTTGGTTTCAGTTTACTCACCTCTAACATAAACAGACCATATGTACCTCTTCCACACTGAATTTTACAACTTATCACTGTAATAGCCCTATCTTGTCCTGATTCTCTGTGAAAGCCCTGCCTCTGATTATGGATTCCTAACTCCCAAAGCACCTCCTGGAATGAGCACAGATCTACATGAACGTTCCCTC